CCCTAAGGCCATACCTCACCTCTTAGCATCTGATTCTTCTCGCTACATACTCTTACTCCACCGTCTCTTGATACTCCTTCCTATTTGGTTTTCTTTTTGTCATCTTCACAGTTGTCTTTTACCGTTGCATAATTAAAAAAGTTTCATTTCAATTTTGTTGTTGTCGGTTCGCTGGTTGGTTGGTTTCTTGCTTCGTTTATATTTATTTGTTCTGTTCTGCTGGATAGTTCTTCTTAGTTGTCTTAGTTCGGTTTCTATTATGCCGTTTTGTCACCTTTTGGTAAATGTACTGTTAAATGTGAATGTTTTTAAGGTTGGTTTAATTTTAATTTTATTACTAAAAACTTATGCGTCAAATGTGGTTGAGAAGACGCTGAAATTTTACCCAAAGAATGCGAGTAATTATGAACTAATGGAGAAGTACGGAAGTATAGGTCGGGTCCGGTCTTTTATAGCATGACCTTGTAGAGAATTTTATCATAGAAACAATTTTCCAGTTTGAAGGGAGTTAATTATATTCAACGCAATAGAAATGATCACAGCAATAACTTGAGGAGACGCCGAAAGAGGGTGACCATGGGGATGTTATGTGTAAAAATGTATGAAACGAAATGCTCAAGTTTGCGTAAAAGAGTGCTATTCTTCAAGAATCTGAAGCCGGTGGATGCGAAGTTATAATTTTCCCTAAATGATGCAATAGGGGGAGATTGGAAAATCCGAAAAATTGTGTTTTTAATCTTTTTAGGATAGATTCTTCATAGCTTTGATTGATTAAGGGTCTTTTCAAAGTTTCTCGGAAGATCAATGCGGTATTTTTTATCTCAGTTGAAGTCAAAAGTTCGGCCGCTGTCGCCGAGGGGTTAACGTTGCGTGCTGCCATTCGGAAGGCCTGTGTAAAAATCCTGTTACGACTAACATCCAAAAGTTAAAGAAAATTACTTTTAGTGAAAAATTAAGAAAAACATGTTTAGTTACGGTTGCCCCACGGCAGGGAATGTCAGCTACTCCGAGTGTATTTCCGACATGAGATAAAAAGAGTCCTCATAAAAACCCGAAAGCGGCTTAGCTTAAATATGTAGTTCCATAAGTCAAAAGTTTTCCAAGTTTCCTAGAGAGGGTGTGCGATTTTTGGAACTGTAAAACTAGAGATAATCTGATAGCTACCGGTATCTCTCCTTCCTTAATCGTAAACTTTTTTAAGCGGGAATTGAAAAATTTGTTCTTCGACAGCTCTCAAACGAAAGGGATCTAACATTTGCTCATATTCATAAGTTTCACTTTAGGCATTACATATTTATGGGAGATATCTATTCTTCTCCTAGGACCTTATTTATTTATTCATTTTTTCTTTTATTGGAATTCAATTCGGGTTGCATTCTTTACTGAGCTTCATAGTCACAACAACCTAATACTTATATAAATATTTATTAAAGAGACTCGTTATATTTATTAAAAATTATTCCATACTTCATTTCTTGTGCAGAATTCAATCAAGATCTACAGAAAGCATTAAACAATTTCATCATACGTTTATTCTGAAATATCATTGAAATTTGATATTGTTTTGGCTGAGATCAGGCCTCCAAGCCCAGGGTGAGCCGGCTTAACCTAGATCTGGCCTCCAAGTCTCTTGTTGAAGAAATGTAAGATAGTTGAGAGAACAGAGACAAAATGTGTCCTATCGGCGCTCAAAAAGTCAGAATCGATATTTTTTTTGTTCTTCCTTTTTTCTTAATTTTCTATTTCCGATCTATTGTATTTCCTTTCCATATCATATAATTTTCTGTTTTCTTATTTTGTATATTTTTAATTTTAATTCTTTTTTCTTTTCCTTTTGTTTTTATTTTTTCAGTTTATATTTCTATTTCTCCTTCCTTTTATTTTTTATTTTCTCATTTTCATATATTTTTCCTATACATATAGTTTTTTAAGCTTTTTACTTTTTCTCTTCTATCCTTAGAAATATAATAAAAACGTTTTTATTTACTATTCCTTTCTTTTTTGAGTTATTCTTCTTTCATTTTTTCTTTCTCTTTCAAAAATTATATTTAGTTATTCCATCTCCTCGTTTTCTTCTTCTTCATCTTTTCCTTTCGCCTTTTTCTTCTTTTCGTTTTCTTTTCCCTTGAAAATTCTATTTCATTTTACTTTTGTTTTCTTTTTGATCTTCATTCTAATTTTGTTTTCTTTGTCATTTAATTCGTTTGCTGTTCTATTGCTTTCCTTTTCTCAGCATTTGCGGTCTCTTTATCCTTTCACATTTTTTCTGCCTTTTCCTTTTGTTTTACCCTCTTTTCCTTGCAATTTTTATTATATTAAATTTATTTAACTTTTATTTTCCGTATTCTTTGTCGTTTTTTCTGCTTGTTTTTTATTTTATTATAATTTTTTGCCTTTCTCTTTATCTTCTTATTTTTAATTTCTTTTTTTTTACATTTCACTTTCTTTGTTTCCATCTCTGTTGCTCTCAATTGCTTTTTATATTTTTCTATTCTAAGTTTTGCTTCTTTCGATTCCTTCTTTGCTAATTTTTCCCTGTTATTGATCTCTTCGGCTAAAATGCAATAGGCATTTCTAATGATTTACAGTCCATACCACAATTGGGTATCAGCCCATTCCATCATTTAGCCAACACTTAGACTGCTCAGGCCCACTGAAACCGAGGCCCACTTCACTCTACGCCACCAACGGAATGTAGTTTTATTACCTCCTCGGAAGGGTCCAACGAGCAGTGCCAGAAACTATTTCCAAACTGTAGGGTATATGTCTGTCGGCGGTCATAAATATTTCGTTTAACCTTCTCTATCTCATGGTTTTCGGATTTAGATGAGCGTATAATTCAGTGGAAGTGGAAAGTGATTTCTTTGTAAAGACAACCTGCAATGTAGACCAGACCAATTATACTCCGAACTACCACCAAACATTTGTTTTAATTCTCAAAAGATGAGTTTGCGAGCTTCACCCTCGCTGTTGAACAACTAGCCTGGAAACCACTACCTGAAACACATTAGGACTATGTAAATTTCTCTAGAGCTTTCGCACGTTTGTTCGAGTATTCCAAGTAAAAAAATATAGATATAATATAGCAGGAGCAAGGGTTTCGGATAACTCCATTAAATTAATTGCCATATAAAAGGGGACTGTTAAGGGTTTTAGACATTTTTTTTTTCAGCATGGAATTTCAACGACATTTATGGTTGCTTCCCAACCTTTCCGTAGAAACTTGGAAGATCTAGAAAAATGTGGAGTGGAATGAAGCTGGTAATGAAGTCTTGGGAATCATTAAGGCTGATAGAGCAATGTTGCATTCTTTGTTCTGCTTTAAGTTCTCCCATGGCGACTCCTGTCATCTACTCCAAACAAACTTTGAACTGAGTTTTGCTTCGTGGAAATTCATTTCTCCCCAATAAACTTTGTGGCTTGCATAATTGACGAACCAACCGAACTCATCGGCTTGAGGTGCGAGATAATATGCACAGATTGCGACCAAAATATGTATGTTGTATGTTGCCATCGACATGGCAACAGTTGCAATGTGACGACGGTTGTTACGGCGCTGTTATGAAAGCGGTTGATAACGCAACCGTTCGCAATACAGTGTCGTCCGGGCGGATGGACGGATGAAATGCAGCTTATGAATTTTTCAAATTCATCTCTATGAAAACAATTGCTGAAGCGGAGATTCTTTTTAGCAGGTTGAGGTTTAAGTTATGGCAATTCGCTGTTACCGTTAGTCTACAGTTGCATTTAGAGGAGCTACATGAGCGGCGCTGGCATACTCTCAGTGTGTCTGCATTGCTGGGTGCGAATATTTACGTAGATCCACATACATACATGCATGCATGCACACATATGTATATACACGTACATACAAACATTTTAGCGGTGCGTGAATTCCTTAGTCACACTTTGGCATTTCCGGCATACAACTATGTTTGTATGTGTGCGGTGTGTACGGTGTGTGCGGTGTTTGCGTGTATGCGCACGCCACAAATTGCCAACAAATAAAAGGGAAATCAACGGAATTTCGCAACATTTGAAAATTTTATGTCTTCATTTTCAGATTGCAAAAATTTCAGAATTTTATATGAGCTGCTCTGGGCGGACGGGCCACGCAAGTCGAGGGTGTTGCATGGTGATTTCATGTCTGCCGAATTGTCTCCGTTCGCAGTTTCAATTTTCATTTCTATGTGCAATGAAATGTTGCAGGTTGGTCGGGCGGATGGAGTAAAGGCTGATGAGTGCGAGGGGGTTCGGGTATATTTCGCGTTCTCGTTTTATGTTTGGGGTTAATTTAATGATTTTGCAAGTTCATTGCGCGCAACCAAGCGAATGTGTTTCAGGCTGGGTCTATGTGGCGCAAGCACTTTTATTAGGCGTATGCGGCGCGGGCGGAGGTGTTGGGAAGGTGAGTGGCGCGAATAGAAAATCCATAAATTCATAAAATAATTGCGTTGCGCCATGCATACGAGATATTCACAGCTGAAACACACACACACACACACAGACGAATAGCAGCATCCTCCATATAAATAAATACATATTTTGCACACTCAGCGCATACTTGCAACAAATACTTGCAACGCGCTTTGTTTAGTTTATACTGTCAAAAATCCATGTACAAACACAAATGCACATCCATACGTACATATATACACAGCCAACTTTAATAAATGCGACGCTCCGCTCCGCTGCGCTCTTCATGCAGCTCACCAATGCGCACGGTTGGGTGGGCTCTGTGCGGTTATGCAATTTATGGCGGCGTTGCATGGTGAAATTTGCACCGTTAGCTGTTTGCGTATTTTAAGTATTTTTATTTTCACAACTAAACACATGCAAATATATGTATGCACATATATGTATAATATCTATATGTATGAGCATAATTTATGCAACATTAAACGCTACTTTTAATTAATTAATTTTATATACCGTTAGTTTGGCATTATTATTTATGCTTCCATTGAAGAATTTTTTTTTTTAAATTTTTTTACTTTCAGGCAAAAGCTTCACCTTGAGCATTGTGATATCTACAAATCCCATACAGATTGCGACCTACAGCAAGGCCATTAAAGTCACGGTGGATGGTCCCCGCGAGCCGCGTTCGAAGGTGCGTCATCAGGGTTTTCATCCGTTTGCCTTTGGACCGCAACGCTTCGGACCGGGCGATCCATTGATGGGCGGTTTGCCGTTTAAATTTCCAGGTAATGTCACGCATAGCGGGCGCGATAGCCAAGTGGTTAGCATTGCGTTCAACCATCATGTCAAAGAGGATGTAATAAGAGAGATGAAGAAGTTTTATATCAGTGGGAAATAACCTATAAATGGTGTAGCTGAGCTCGTCACATGCCGCACAGAAAGTCTATTGATAGTTTTTTTTAGTGACTTCTGCAGTAGAAAAGGTTGGCTTTCCAGGAGGTTGGGAGTAATTTATTTAAAATCACCGGACTGAGGTTGGAAACATTCATAAGCTCTCAGGGCACCAAATAAATAATACGAGTAAATAATCCTCAGCCTTAATCAGACCTTTTTTTTTTAAATTGAGAATTGTATCCTACTTTGTCCCCAGGAGCTGTAAAGAGAAGATGTACCTCCGGAGTAAATAATAGCTTATTCTTCCACTAATATAAAGATACCAAAAAAGGCTTTTAGGGTTTTAGAGCAATTAGTTCCATAAAAAGGGCATAGCTTCTTCTTCTTCTTGGATTTTTATGGCAGAAAATATTGTCTTTTTGCATGATTTCTACACAAATAAAAGAGTCGCTAAAGCCGATACCTTTTTCTACTTCTTTACTGGCGTAGGCACCATTTAAGCGATTATTGTCAAATTAACAATAATCTGGAGTGCTTTCCTTCTGGAAAAGGTTGTTCGAATATTCCCTCTTGGTTATCTTACTGTGTTAGGAGTTCTGAAAGCACTGTGATTACTGTAAATCTCTTTGTCGAATTCTTCAGATCTAACCATGGCGGGAATGTTGGTATTTCCAACTGTAATGACCTGGAAATTTAGCGGAATTTGGATTTCGGTAGTCTTTCAGTCATTGAACTGAATGTTTTGAATGGGATTACTGGCTTGCAACTCTCTTTGAGTTGTGATTTGGGCGGGCTTTCTGCTTATGTACTTAAAAAGTGCAGTTCGTCTATTTCCACTACCTTAAAATACTTTTTTTTAGTCTTGCCGTCTGGCGACAAATTGGGAATCGCTTCTATCTCTCAGCTTTTTAGGTCTGGTAACAAAAATGATGGTAAAAATTATGGGCCTATATCTCAATTATCGACTTGTTCGAAACTTCTCGAGAAAGTGGTAAAGGTCAAATTGTTTTTTTTCGGTTAAGGACTCTATTCGCCTGCGTCAGCGGTCGTTCTGCTGTCAATATCCTAGCCTGTCATTCTAGTTATTGCATTGCACCATTTAAGAAGGGATACCAAGTTGATGTCGTCTGTACCGATTTTACCAAACCCTTTGATACTCTGTCCCACATATCATTTTATTACGTAAGCTAGAGTGCCTAGGTTTTCACTCTTCTTGATTTAGATCATATCTTTCCGATGGATTATCTTTTTTTATATTAGAGAATAGGAGATCTCATTAATTCGAGGCTTCCTCTGGGGTACCTCAAGGGAACATTCTTTGTCCTTTATTATTTCTTCTTTTTATAAATGACAATGGAATTTGCTTTGGGAATTTCAACTTCTTGCTTTATGCCGACGATAGTTTGAGGTCGTCGTTAAATGCATTCTATGTATGTTTTTCAGATGCTTCACTTTTACAAGAGGATCTTAACAAAGTAGCCAATAGGAGCATTCGGAATAATTTGCCCCCTTAATATGAAAAAATGTTTTTTCATTGTTCAAATGTGCTCAGGTCGAGTTATTATCTATTTGATAATTTTTGGATCTTGGTGTGTTGTTTGATGTGGGTTTTACCTTCATTAATCATATCAACTGCATCTTTCCTTAAGTTTATTCTAACCTTACTAATTTTATTTATTTATATAAGTCTTTGGTTCGTCCAAAGCTTGAGTAAGCTAGCTCGATTTGGAATCCTATTTATTCTACGCATTCCTCTAGACTTGAAATCGTCCAACGCAGGTTTATTCGTTTCGCTCTTGCTCCGTTGCATTTCTCAGATCCCCTACCTTCTTATACTTCTTGATGTATGTTAACTAATCTGAAATCTCTTGCACTTCGATGATCTATCCAGTCATTACTATTTATATATGAAATCACCAATGGGTTAGTGGACCGTCCAGGGCTGCTTCAGCGAATCAGCTCTAATGTTCCTCATAGAACTTTGCGATCTCATTATCCCTTCTGTTTAGATGTAATTAGAGTCAATTATCATAATTACGATTTTACTGTTGGGGTACTCTCTGAATTTAATAGAATTTCCAGAAGCCTTGATCTTGATTTCGCATTCCCGGGATCTCATTTTGGCTCTATTCTTAATGCTTCTTATTCTTAGTATACATAAATAGTCTTAAGTTTTTTAATTATATTGTTCTTGGAGTCTGTAAGATTTGTAAATCATTGACTTAATAAATGAAATGAAAGATGATTTCATCATCGTGCCATGGAGCAGCGCAAGTCCATTAAAATTCCATTTCTGAAATGTACACTGGACTTACCGCGGATAGCCTCAAGTATTTGTATACATCTTTAGTAGACTTTCTTATCGGTTTCACCCAAAAGGTGCCTCGACCTTAAACCCCATGTACTTAGTTTAAAAAACGCTCCAATCTTCTATACTCTGCTCTAGATACTTTGTTGATAGCTTCGATTTGTGAAACGTTCATCGGTTCTGCTTTGCATAGTTTTTTCTATATTTCCTAGTTCTTTGGACACGCAGAGTTCTCTCCATATCTCCTAGTACTTTGGACAAGTCAGGTTTTTCAGGTGTGCTGACATTGTGAAAAAGTCTAAATTGTCTCCCCCTATTGCTATGCAGTCAACATCTGATCATCTTAAAGTTGATGAAATATGTTTGTAAGAACGCAGATCATTTCTAAAAAAAAAAACTTTATTTTCTTCAACTGAATTGCAACGAATCTGGAATGTGAAGTCCAACTCTAAGTACTCCCATTGGCTTAGTAGGCAGAGAGCTACCCAGAATATATCAATCTGTCCACCGCTGGTAAAAAAGAGCTTAAAGCTGCTTTCACAAATTTTGGTTTGTCTTTCTTCTAAGATGCATCAATAGCCGTGAGATGCATACGAGTACTGCTGTGCTGTTTAAAATAGACGATCACAAGTCATAAGCACGAGCATGCGAACACTTGACTCGGCTCCATAGAGCTTTTGACTGTGTTTTAGAGGTTAACAAAAATTTGAGCACACCAATTAAGCAAGAGTATATTTTTAGCGATACTCAGGTGTGCGTGAATAGGGTACTACTCGCTCTAACTCATTCCTGATTCCGAAATGGCTGATGTTCTTGCCCTAAAATTTTTCACTCAATTTAAGTTTTAGTTCTTAAGTTTTCTTAAGTAGTTTTTTATATTTGCCTTCTTTTCCTTATGTCTTTTTATTCCATTTATACCGTTGAGTATTCTAAGATTTTATTTCTCTGGCGCTGCTATGTAAGCCTTGTAGTAATCTCCTCCGCATTTTCTTTTAAGTTTACAACTTTTTTAAATTTTGTTACATTTCCATGTCAATCGACGGTCGATTATCCGCTTTTACTGCATATCTCGAGCTTCCCCCCACAAAAAAAAAACAAAATAAAAAAAAATTTAACGGTTCATTTACAAAGCTTAAGCAACTCCCACCGAATTCCTCTGTTTTCTACGTTGTTTTCGAGCTTTTAAACGCATTATGCGGATAATATTTAAAGTGGCTTTCTTAGGCACTGATGCTTGCCTACCAAACAGCCGACGGCAATTGCTTTGGCTTAAGGTTTAAGCCAAGTAATACAATTGACTGACAACAACAACATATTATTTGTGCTTTTCTCTTTGGAGGTTAAATGAGAAAAAACGCCTCAGGCTTTTGGTGTGTCACAAAGTATTAAATTACCGTAAAATAAGGCAAACAAAACTCGTCGTCCAAAGCAGTGTATGTATGTATGTACATACATTTGCATGTAAGTACATCATTATAACTCTATTACTGAACATTTGAGGCCGGATTTTGTGTGGATATTCATATTGAAATTTGCCTCTAGGCAGTGAAAAACTGTTGATGTTTTGAAATTTTATCCTCAGCGTGGATGATAAGCTGCAGCTTTAAGTGAGTTGTTTGTTTTTGAAAAAGTGAATTTTATAAATATTCATTTTAAACTTTTTTTAACAATTTTTTTTGACGATGAGAACAGGCATACATTGAATTTTTAGTTAAGAACTGAAACTTCCAAAGCAAACATTTCTGAAAAATCGGTCTAAAAGTGGTGCTGAATATCTACAAAGTTACGTATGTTCCTTTCAAGCCGTATCAATTTTAGATCAGGCCCATTCTTGCAGCTTTCCGTAGCTAAGATGAGTGGCTTGTGGTAGTAGTTTCAACCTTAATACTTTGAGTACAATGCTGCAACATGGGTACGTCGAGTTTAGATAGTTTTAAGCCGAAATTCTCGTTGATTTATCTATATATAGACTAGCAGACCCAGCAAAGTTCGTCTCGTCTTATATTACATTAAGACTGATAATAAAATATTTGTAGATAGTTCAAATCTGAATGTGAATTATTTGAGTGAACTCGATTAGCAGAAAGCGATATGATTGGGCAAGCAAGAACAAACAACAAAGTTGGTTTGTCAACACGGGGTTATGCGCAATTCTCATAAAATTACTTAAACCAAATTAAGCGGTTTCAGATAAGAGATGTTCCAGCAAATTGAACCGCAAATAAGACGATTAAGAACCAGTTTCTGCGTGTTAATCTAAACGATGAACTAGCAACTTAACTTAACTTAGATTATCTCGCATTAGCCGCTCCCCATGATTCTCTGAATAAAGTAGAATTTTATATCGGTTCAGTCGTTATCAATTCAAGAAAAACTGTAGAAATAATTGTATTCAACATAAGGGTTTCTCATTGAGGGAGACCGCATATGTTTTAAAAATTAACAGAAAATCTCTTTCTGAGAGTTATCTTTTCTATCTTGGATACAGAATATATCTATTCTGCACAATTCATTGAAAGGGTAATTTTCTTAGCGCACTCTCTGGAATTGCTCGGCTTTTACTCACGTAAATGCAAGGGAAAT